CCACCACCCCCTGTCCCAGCAGGCTCGGCATGAATCTTTTTGTGCACTTGCACCCCTTTTTCACGTGGGTCATGGTTTCAGTACTTCAGCCTCAGTGGAGTTCCCATTTATCTAGCGTGTTACTCTAGCTTATCTTGAGATTTCGGAATCTCCTGTGATTACAGCTTGTCTCTGCTGTAGGAATCAACAGAAAGAGACGTCCTCTGCATAAAAGCTCCACTTGAAAAGCCACCTCCTAGTCCTAACATTTCCAGTCCTAGTGTCACTGTCTTCTGGTTCTGATTTAGTCCCCACTGTTTCTAGAAATCTCTTTTAAGCATTATTTTTGAAAAAAAAAATTTATAGATGAAAACTCAGGCTAACCTAGTGGATGTGATCTTGGAACTTCCATGATTATCCACGTAAAAGATCAAAGTATTATATGCTGTGAGCTTTTTAGGTGATAGTGCTGTGAAGGCAAAAATGCTTTCTACATTGGCGTTTGTTCCTATGTTACTAGGCACCTATGAATGTATGCAGTGTGCTAGAAATAGACTGAAACATATTCTTATAGCATGTTAGTGTGCTTGCATGTTTGCTGAAAATCCTTTCTGTATAAACCAGTTTGTTAGGTTCTCTGGGTTAGGTAGGGAGTGCAGTTTTTTCCTGTCAAAATCTCTCCTACCAAGATGGTGTTCCACTGTCCAGCCCAGCATGAGTAGCAGGTAGAACACAGCCTTACTGGCTGTTTGTCTGCTTTGGTGTAGTGCAATGTGTGTTAGATTACTTATCAGAAAACATGAACGTCATCTCTAGAAAGAAAAACACATAGTAGTCCAATTCCCAGTGTGTCCCTTTGACTTTTTTTAATAGTGAAAATAAGAATCTGTACTGACTTTTCACTTGGCCATTCTGGTTTTAAAGGAAAAGCTATAAGCTCTGTTTTTCTGTACTGATCTGTCACTTATTAAATACTTTTGTACCATAAGTAAAATTTGAGGTGTTTTGCAAGGAAAAAGTTTGCTTTATGAAAAGACTCAAATAGTTTTTTTTTTTCCTTATTTTTAGTCAGAATATTGCTCTGTCGCCCAGGTTGGAGTGCAGTGGCGTGATCTTGGCTCAGTGCAACCTCTACCTCCCAGGTTCAAGCCATTGTCCTACCTCAGCCTTCTGAGTAGCTGGGATTATAGATGCCTGCCACCATGCCCAGCTAAGTTTTGTATTTTTAGTACAGATAGGACTTAGACAATATAATGGTAGGCAGATATAGTGTAAACACACTGTATTATGTACAGTAACACACTGTACTATCTCTGCCTACCATTATACTCTCTATGCCCAATATTATACTCTTGCAGTCGACATATTAATATAAAAAATTAAAGTCATATCATTAATCATATAAAATACATCACAAGTATTGAGAGTGGCACAATCATAATGCCAAAGGTGACAGAGGCAGAAGAAATAATGGGGTCAGAAGACACTAAGTAATGATGGATTTAGAGTAAAGAGCAAGTTAGAGAAGGGCATAATCTAAGAAAAATACAAAGTAGGCTGGGCACAGTGGTTCACGCCTGTAATCCCAGCACTTTGAGAGACAGAGGGGTGGATCTCCTGAGGTCAGGAGTTCAAGACCAGCCTGACCAACATGGAGAAACCCTGTCTCTACTAAAAATACAAAATTAGGCAGGCGTGGTGGCGTACATCTATAATCCCAGGTACTAGGGAGGCTAAGAGAATTACTTCAACCCTGGAGGTGGAGGTTGCGCTAAGCCAAGATTGTGCCATTGCACTCCAGCCTGGGCAACAAGAATGAAACTCTGTTTCAAAAAAAAAAGGAAAAGAAAAAAAAGAAAAATACAAATAGAGCTATACTGGAGAATTTTTATAGGGGAGTACCTTTATAGTAGAAAAGGTTAAAAAGGTGAGCTGGAGCCATATTATAAACCATGATACCAGCCTTAGAAGTCTGGGCTTCATTGTGGGTAACAGTGGTTCTGGGAGTCCAATGTATACAAAAATCATCCTGGGGGAAAACTGGTGACTAGACAGATTAACTCTTGTGATTCTAATTAGCATGTTTGGGATGGTCCCAGAAAACTGCATCTTAACAGGCTCCCCAGGTGATTCCAGTACATGGACACACTTTGAGACACTCCGCCTCAGGACAAATGATTAAGAAACTCTACTATTAACTGTTGCAAATACCCCAATTCCCTGTATGCTGTGAAAACATTTAATTGCATCCAATTTTTCTTTGTTAATTTAGCATTGACTTTGTCACTGTTTACATCTTGAGTGAATGTGCTTGACAATGCGCTTTTCTGGTTCTGACTCTCTATCTTCTCCTCTGGCCTCTCATACTTTGCCCTTTCTTTACATGTTATTTCGTAAGATTTTGATTTTAGTCCTCTACAGATGTCCCTGAGTTATTTCATCCACTCCTAAGGAGCGTAGAGAACGTTGATACCAACCTCAGAAGATTAGACTTTGTCCTGTAGATAAACAGGAGTTATAAAAGTTTCTCAGAAGTAGAATATCATAGAGAAAGACGTTCTGGGAATGTAACCTTGGAGATGGTCTGCAGAAAAGGAATAGGCATAGGAGAAACAGGAGGTAGGGAGAATAATTATGAGACCACCAAAATAACTGTTTAAAGTCATCATCAAGGGATGACTTCAGAATGAAAATGTTACTTTTCTAGTAGTTCTTCCCTTTAAGAAACTAGCCTTATTTCAATAAATTAATAGGCAAGACACTTCTAAGTACATTGGAATCTCATTATCTTTTTTTGCTATATATTTAACTATAATATAAGGAATCAGGTCCTCTGCAATGTTAATCACAGATAGTAAAAATCTGACATGACACTGTTCTATTATAACATCAATGTGATTTCTAAAACAAGTGGCACAAAGGATTTTATAATATTGATAAGTTTTCATTATGGAGTCAAGAAATCATCGTTAGTACAGATATTATTCATAAATGGTAAACTTTATTTTATGACTTGAACTCGTGAAAGAATGGTAAAAGTATATTTGATTTTACTTTACACGAAGGTACTCAAGCTATTAAACCATATCCATTGTGTCTTATACACAATATTTTCTATAATTGAATCCAGACGTTTCTAAATTGGCAGAAAAAATAGTGCCTGTATTTAGATATTCTATTTGAAAGATTCTAGAATCTTAGAAAAACAGAGGCAGAAAGCGCCTAAATTAGGTTCAACCCTGTCTGCTCCTAATTTAGTAGATAAACCAGTTTATTGGCTATTCTTTGTCAAGTGTTCCAAATAGAGAGATGCTAAGTCTTTATAAAGATCAATTTCAATTTTTAACAACTCTCACTACAAGAAAGTCAAGAAAATAGAAATTAGACCTCCCCCTTGTGTGACCTTGGGAAAATTCCTTAAGCATTGTCTTACTTTTCACAGTGCTATCGTCATCATACATATACCGTGAAAGTAAAATATCTATTGAAGATTCTTTGAACACATTGGGCTGGAAGAGCTACAGAAAACCAAGGTATAGTTATTTTCATATCCACGACTTCATTTGCCATTTCCCTTGTTGCAGCCTCCCTGGAAATTAAGCAAAGATGGCAATCGCCTTCTGCTTAACAACCCTTCATGTACCTGAAATTGTTATTCTCCCCAGGTACCTCAAGAACATTTTTTAGAGAGGATTGCCTGAACTCTAAAACAGGAATCAAGGGCTATGAGTCAGCATTTCACCTACAAATAAAATCAAAATGGTTTAAAATAGGTAACATAATCTTTTTGAAAGACATACATACCTCTTTGGAGACGCTTTGAGACAACTGGAGTTTGCAAGTTTATGAATAGTTTATTACATTTCAATAAGTGTATCATGAATCAATAAAGCAAAAAGGACAATGAGCTCATTACCAAGCCAGTTATTGATTCTCTAGTTCCAAAATAGAATAGTACAGGAAGGGTATAGAGAAAATAGAATTTTTTCATGATAAAAATTTTAAGTATGTTAGGAAGACAGACCTAAAGAAACCATCAGACACAACAAAAATTTCAGCAGCTACTTAGGATGTTTATTTATTTACCTTTTTTTGTCAATTAGATTATTTGGTTTTTACTTAAAAAAAAAAAAACAAACACCTTTTCAAAGCAAGTCAGTTTGCCAAAACTGAATATTACCTCTTACTGACTTAATTATTCTTTCAATTTCTTGTATATCTTCCTCTCTTGCCTTTGAAAAGTTTACCGTACTAGCTGTCTATCTTATATTACTGTCATAGCTCAGACTGCCCTAACAAAATAATGTAGGACTGGGTGGTTTAAACAACACAAGTTTATTTCCTCACAGTTCTGGTCGTTAGAAGTTCAAGATCAAGGTGTCAGCATGGTCTGTTTCTGGTGACTACTTTCTTTCTGGCTTGTAAACAGCCACCTTCACTCGGGGGTGTTGTGGACAGGATGGTTGGAGGAGCTCTATATTACATTTGCATGTGTATTATTAAAAGAAATGGTGAATCACATATGGAAATACAGAAAACTGCAATAGTAAATAAAATTAACAAACTTATAATTGGGTTGTACTGAAGTTTACCTAATTTTAATAGAAACAGTTATTTTTATTACATGCTACACAAATTTGATGGTATAAGCAATGTTTTTCTTATTTGTCTGAATTTCTTCATTGCAAAATGCTAAAACTATACATAATCTTTTAAAAACAATTAAGATGGCTGGGTGCTGCAGCTCATGCCTGTAATCTCAGCACTTTGGGAGGCCAAGGTGGGCGGGTCACCTGAGGCTGGCAGTTCAAGACTAGCCTGAACAACATGGAGAAACCTCGTCTCTACTAAAAATACAAAATTAGCCAGGCGTGGTGGCGCATGCCTGTATTCTCAGCTATTCAGGAGGCTGAGGCAGGAGAATTGCTTGAATCTGGGAGGTGGAGGTTGTGGTGAGCCGAGATCACGCCATTGCATTCCAGCCTGGGCAACAAGAGCAAAACTCCGTCTCAAACAAAACAAAACACAATTAAGAACATTTCCTTAATGACTATGAAGTGAATACACAGCATATTTCAAATTTTCAAGTAGAAGGGTAGAGGAATGTAGGACAAAAGGCGACTGAGATCCAGAGTTTAGGTGACTTGGCAAAGTCATCCGATTAGCAGGTTATAGAATTATATATGAAACGCAAGATTTTCTTATCCCAAAATGCTGAAGATTGGTATATTCAAGATGAAGGGGAATAAAACCTAATTATACTCTAGATCACTTCATACCAGAAAACAGCTATAGAAACTAGGTTTTCACTTTCAAAACTCAATTAAGTGTGTGTATGGTCCGTTGGTGTCTAGCTTTAACACCTGCCTATTCCCATAAGTGCCATGTTCCACTATAACCCCAGCTTCAGCACACTTGCTATTAGCAGCTACTTCTTTTTCACACAGAGTAACAAATTGAGAGTAAAGTTCAAACCCTTCTTCTTTTCCAGAGTTAGAGTGATATTGCATGTTTCTTCCTTTTAGTCTTCCTCCAAGGGTAGCTTGAGGGATAATAAGAATGTTGCCAGGTAGATCCAATATAGAGACTTGTTTGCCATTTTCTGTTTCACTTAATTTCACATTTAACAGTGTATTAACTGGGTGAGGAAGAAAGGCAAAACATTTTAAAGTGAAAAAGATGAAGAAAACCATCAAGTTTTTAATTAGTCAGCAAACTTCATGTTTAAAATTCAGTTTGTCAGCTCATGCTTCTAACTCAAAGTCTCTAGATTTGAAATACTGCTTCACTAAGCTAAATAATCTAAGCATGAAAAATAAGGCAACTTTCATGCAGAAAATGGTATGATATTTTAAATCTGATTTGGCAGTTAAGATCACCTAACAATAAATTCATCCAGAAAGGTCTAAAAATTAACTTTACACTGGAACCTCAAATATTGTTCTCCTGGGGGAATACATGAGAATATTTTACCTTCCTGTTCCTTTTACTTCGTAAGTAAATTCCACAGAAAAAGAGGAGGATAAATCCTCCTCACACCAAATTGTGCTTTATAGTGGGATATCAAATAAAAATTTTAGTGCAGTTATTATTTTAAACTTAGCTGCCAAGACTTTTAAGCAGAGACAAAGGTTCCTGGTTCAATCCCATTATAAACCACTTAATTTTGTTGTTTAATAACCTTAAAGGCAATATTAACATGGCTAATCATTTTATAAATGTATGGACTAATCATTTTATAAATATAACCCATGAGAGAAGGGTAAATGTGAAAGCAGGAATCATCAGAAATTCATTGGTACAACTGAAAAAGTAAATAAGATATAAAGCTACCTATACTATCTTCATATACATATAAAAATGTGATATTATTTTTATAGCATTTATGATATTTCTTATAGTTAATAAAAAGTGTTGAAACCACCGTTAAGTATCCATGTATAGCTAAAAGCCTAAACTTAGAAAACCTTTATACCTTAACATTAACCATTTTCAAAACAGTAAGCAAAAGAAGTGTCTAATATAAAAAGACTTAGGGTCTTCCTACCTCTATAAAGGTATAAATGACTCCTGTTTGCAAAGAATAGTCCTGAGAGGACAAATGGTTGAAGGAACTATACAAACCTCAAGACAACTGCCCTCAAATTAAATTAAAAGGCATGCTTTCTGTTGGGGTAGTTAATGGTTTTAATTAATAGAGAGTCTGTAGTAAATATTCATGTGGTTGCCCCTCTCTACAAATCATGGAATTAACTGGTAAATATCTGCCAACGTGAACTCTCAAATGAATTCCTAAGCTAGGCATTAAGCATCATCAATTTTCACTTAACTAACATTTATTTTTAAATACTTCTAGTTTTTCTCTATTACAAATAGGACTTTGCTGTTTAGCCAGTAGTCTTTATTGATTGCCTGTAAGGAAACTTAACTCTCCAGAGCACTACATTCCACTGGAAATCACTACCTAGCTCTCTAGGCTTCAGGCTAGTGACAGAGTAAGTACTGTAGGCAATTTTGGAATAACAGGCTTGAGAGGTAATGCTACAATATATTATATTTCCACGTACCTCCCTCTACTGGCTATAAATGAGAATTCAGTTAATGCTGTTGGTATACAAATATCAGTATGTACATAAATACAATGTAGAACCAGTAAGTAGAATTAAAACGAGTAAAACGAGACAATGAATCAATGGCATGTTGGAAACTCAAATATCCTAAAACAGGTTATCAATCAAGTATCTCTAATGATGTATATGGAATGTTAAGCTTTAACAGGTCTCTGGCCCTCAGTCCAATTATATTGAAGATGAACTGAGGAAGATTCTACACATCTCTATGTTAGCTGTGCTATTTTGGATTTTACAGATATAACTGATTATTATATTCTCAAGGGATATATGCTTTGATTGGAAATATCTGAATCTATGTAATAAATATGAGGTGAAATTTAAGAGAATCCCATCACATTGACCTACTTAGCCTACTGGAATAGAGGGAAGTACAAGCTAATGCTTTCAATAATAGATGCACTTATTTTGCTTACAACTCAAATGAGCAGAACGTGATTCTTAGAGTCATATATTTCTTTACTGAGAATCATGATATAAAAAATCATGTTAGATATTGTTAGGCTATCCACTACAAGAGTTAGGGTGGAATTCCTTGGTGTTTTAAATTCACCACAATCTTATTCATATATTTAAAGTTAACTCACAAGACAGATATGGAAGCACACAGGATTTAATCACTTAAAAACAACATGCAGTTTGGATGTGGTAGGCATTTTCATCCTATTATGCTGAAGAGCCATTTGAGACTCTGTAAGACAACTTTAGGAAGTCAATCTTAAGTCAGAATGACAAAAACTTTCTTCCTGTTTTTGAAGATTTCTACATTTTTTTATGGCCCAAAAAGATTTAATCCAAGGCAAAATATTAATTTAGGAAAGTGGACAGAATGTCTAACACTCTAGCATTAGGATCGGACAAATTATTCTTTATAATAGGAGTCCTCATTACATTATGTTCTTTGTTTTTCATTTTTAACTTTCTTCTTCGGACCAGAACATTATGTTCTTAACCCTTCAAAGGTTCCTTATTATCTTCTGGATTCAAATTTCAAACTATTGCAGTTACTGGCTTCCTATTCTCACTTATCAAAGTCTCTTAAATCTGGTTTTCATCTTTTGACAAACTTGTCAGACATGTTTGATATATCAGTATAAAATTCCCTCTAGGAGTTTTAGCTTTATGTCCAAGCTCTTCCTCATTGCCCTATTTGCCCTTGACGCTCTTCTAGGTTAACTTCCGTAAGCTTCAACTGCCCATTTGCATAATTAGTATTTCTTATTAATCCAACTAATGGATGCTGTCCTTTACTAAGGAGGAGAATACAACCTGTTCCCAACTTTAAGGATACCTTCTTTTCTTTCAGTTTTGTACATTTGTTTGTTTTGGGACATAATCGTTATATCCAAATACTGTCTTGAGAGGGTATATGATTTGATTTGGTATATCTGAACCTATGTAATTATCACATGAAATGCTATAGCCATATGAGATAGTGTGTATATATATCACTGTCCAGTGCTATCGCCTGTCCAGGTAACTAGAAAGCTGCAAGTAGATAAATTACTGTTCAGAGACCGCTGAACATTGACTCTGTTTTCTACGTCCTTGGAGGAGGTGTGGCTATGATGACACTGAATTTGGCTCAAGGTCCAGGAGAACCTTATATCTATACTTATTTCCACAAAGAAGTGCATACATTGCTAATGCAAATTCTTCCATAATAGTGATATAAGCTTAAGTTGTCCAGATTTGATGAGACCCACATCTTGTATATACTACATCATCTACTGCCTCTGTTAGGGACCCTGGGGGAAAAAGGAAACTATATTAAGAAATGCAGCATCTGTTTCTCCCTATGTGACCACCCTGTTTCCAAGAAGTTTCTGTATCCTTGGCTGAAGAGTACTGCGTGTATGTGTATGTATGTACACTCTTCTACATCAATTTGTAAGTCATCTGAAATGCTGCAGATGTTTCAAAAGAATTCCACCATACTTGCTTACTTTAAATTTTGAAACAAGCAAATAGCTAAAGCCAAAAACACTTGACAGAGCTAAGTACTTAATAACTTATCAGCACAATTTAAGATTGTGCTTTTTAGGATGGGCAGAGATTGGTTAATGGATACAAAATTATAGCTAGATAGGACGAATGACTTCTGGTGTTCTGCAGCACTGTAGGATGAATATGGCTAACTATAATTTATTGTATACTTTCAAAAATCTAGAAGAAAGGATTTTAAATGTTCACAACACAAATAACAAATGTTTGGGATAATGCTTATCTGGTTTGATTGTTATACATTGTATACAGTATAAAACTATCACTCTGTATCCCACAAATATGTAAAATTATTATTATTTTAAAAATAAAAGGGGAGGAAAAAAGATTGTGCTTCTTGTCCCTTCTGGTTCATTTGTCTATTACTATTCTTTCTCACTTTTTTTTTTTTGAGATAGGGTGTTGCTCTGTTGCCCAGGTTGAAGTGCAGTAGTGCCATCGAGGCTCACTGCTGCCTCGACCTCCTGGTCTCAAGCAATCTTCCAGTCTCGGCCTCCCAAGTAGCTAGGACCATAGGCACAGGTCACCATACCTGGCTACTTATGTGTATTTTTTGTAGGGAAGAGGTCTTACTATGTTGCCCAGGCTGGCCTCCAATTCCTGGGTTCAGGCAATTCACCCGACTAGGCCTCCTAATGGGCTGGGATTATAGGTGTGAGCCACTGCACTCAGCCTTTCAATCTGAAAAAGGAAACAAAATTGGCCGGGTACAGTGGCTCACGCCTATAATCCCAGCACTTTGGGAGGCCAAGGCAGGTGGATCACGAGGTTAGGAGATCAAGACCATCCTGGCCAACATGGTGAAACCCTGTCTCTACTAAAAATACAAAAAATTAGCCGGCGTGGTGGTGCACACCTGTAGTCCCAGCTACTTGGGAGGTTGAGGCAGGAGAATCACTTGAACCTGGGAGGCGGATGTTGCAGTGAGCCGAGATTGCGCCACTGCATTTCAGTCTGGGTGACAGAGCGAGACTGTGTCTCAAAAAAAAAAAAAAAAAAAAAAGGGAAACAAAATTAAACACATACCCATTTTGGGAAGAAGTTCTTTATCAGCTCCCTTGAAAAAGCACACATAGATCACCAATCCTCTCTGAACCTATGAGAAATCACCACAGTAAACTCAGATTACAAAGATATCTACAAAGATACAGTGCTAAATGAGTAAAATTTCACAGCTATTAATACTATAGACATAGAGGTTAAAAGCACAGAAAATGAACTTTACAAAAGATTTCTCATGTGAAAAAAACAAAATATTTTTCAAGTTCCAATAATCGCAGTTATTTCTTTCAAAAATTAAGTTTAAAATATAGCCAAGAGGAGTGAAGACAAGTTATACCTTCAGACATTTATTTCTAATCAACATCATTAAGACTATCAACCAGCCATTTCCTCAGTAAGTAAGGCTGACAAAGACTAAGAAACATTTTGTTTGATACACCCCATTTACTCAATGCCTAGTGAATTCACATACCAGATACAGCTGATAAACAACATGTGACTGATGTCTTTTGACATCATCTCTCTTTCCCCTAATCCACTTACTTACTGATAATGAAAATAAGGGTCTGATTCTATTTCTATAAACTCCAGGAATCTGTCCAATTATTTGTTGTTGTTGTTAATGCTTTAAATAAACATGATTAGGACTTGAAAATTGCATTTGTGATAATAAGGTCTACATTAAAACGTTGGTTGTTATCAGGAAAATAGGCTTATTTGTTTTACATAATGACCTGGATATTTCTTAGATCATGTAGGACAGAGACTACACAGAAAAGAGACACTTGAATAGTGACTTTGATTCTGCTTCTGAGTGAATCATTAGATTTTTTGATTCTGTAAATTAACCTTGACTCCAGGAGCTATTAGGACAATTAAATGAGTTAATATTTATAAAGTACTTCAAAAACAGTGCCTGGTTCATAGTAAGTGCTGTATTAGTGTTTATTAAATGAGTATGTAAAAATAAATTTAAGGGCAGAGGCACAATTTATTTCACATTTTAACTTCCAAAGCACTTTACAGGCTGTTTTGTACATGATAGGGTTTCAATTTATCTGTTGATTACATTAACATTCAACTATATGTTCTAGGCTCTATGAGTTATCTCAAGAATTTTCTAGATAAATGTAAATACAGCTCTGCACTCACACTTGATTTACCTGGAACATAACTGAGTTTTAAAAAATGCAATTGTAGGCCGGGCGCGGTGGCTCAAGCCTGTAATCCCAGCACTTTGGGAGGCCGAGGCGGGTGGATCACGAGGTCAAGAGATCGAGACCATCCTGGTCAACATGGTGAAACCCCGTCTCTACTAAAAATACAAAAAAATCAGCTGGGCATGGTGGTGCGTGCCTGTAATCCCAGCTACTCAGGAGGCTGGGGCAGGAGAATTGCCTGAACCCAGGAGGCGGAGGTTGCGGTGAGCCGAGATAGCGCCATTGCACTCCAGCCTGGGTAACAAGAGCGAAACTCCGTCTCAAAAAAAAAAAAAAAAAATGCAATTGTGCTACTGAAACAATAGGCAAGGGCCTTCATTGTATACCCTTAAGAAGCTGGCAAGTTATTACAGATATTTGCACTACTGTCATAGGCCTCTTCACTAGTATTGTTTTCATCATGAATCAAAATCTTAAGCATATTTACATATGGACACGTGCAATGTCAGAATTAAATACCTAATCATTTGCAGAAAGATACCTGTTCTTTCCGCTTACCACATTATCTCCTCATTAAGGTATTTGCCTTTCATTTATTCCATAATAGATCTTAAGTTGTGACTTCTCTTCAAGTCAAAAATCACTCTCCTTACAACTTATATATATATTATAAAACATTTCAAATATATAGAAAAACACAGAATTCTCACTGTATCTTTAAAAAGTTCACTTACCAGGAAGAAAAGCATTAGTCTGTGACAGCAAAGTTCTAAATGAGTGAAACTAAGAACAAGCAAAGAAAACAACCTTCAAATGTTGACAAAACGCTGTTTCTAAAAACACAAGAACTTTTAATAATACAGCAGGGTAGAGAAGACGTAAGAGGAAAGAACTTATATTTTCTCAACATCTAAATTACTTGTCATCTCTTTAAACTAATTTAGTCATGTGTAGGAGTGAAAGGGAAAGCCTTTAAAATAGTTTTTAAGTTTATAAACACAAACTGATAGTTTGGATGCCTGCAATAAAATGTCCGTGATTTTGCATAAGGAGATGTAGCCTGAAGAACATAAAAAAGATAAATAAGCATGGAAGGAAACTAAATGACTGATAGTTTGGAATTTATGGTGTCTGGAAGCAGCTATAAAAATGGATAATCACTTTATTTATTTTTGAGAGGAGGTCTCACTCTGTGGTTCAGGCTGGAGTGCAATGATATGATCTCCGCTCACTGCAACCTCTGCCTCCTGGGTTCAAGCAATTCTCCTGCCTTAGCCTCCTGAGTAGTTGGGATTACAGGTGCATGCCATGACGCCCAGCTAATTTTTGTATTTTTAGTAGAGATGGGATTTCACCATGTTGGCCAGGCTGGTCTTGAACTCCTGACCTAAAGTGATCCACTGGCCTCCCAAAGTGCTGGGATTATTGCGCCTGGCCAGTTAATTCTTTAGATAGGATCGCAAAATAAAAGAATAAAATTTCAAATAAAGAAGAGAAATCAAGACCTCACAAAAAATCATGACAAAAATAAGAAATAAGAAAAGTGAATTTCTGGGAAAGAAAGAGATAAGAATACTGTACAGGAATTTCTACCATTATATTTCCAAATTAGCACAGGGGAGCCGATTCTGATTTTAGAATGATTGCTCACACATCATACAGTTCATGGGTGCTATTTAAAATAATAAGTAGGCCAAGGGCAGTAGCTCAGGCCTGTAATCCCAGCACTTTGGGAGGCTGAAGCAAGTGGCTCACCTGAGGTCAGGAGTTGGAGATCAGCCTTCCCAAAATGGCAAAACCCATCTCTACTAAAAATACAAAAATTAGCTGGGCGTGGTAGCTCACGCCTGTAGTTTGAAAATTGTTTGAACTCGGGGGCGGGGGAGGGGGTAGGGGCAGAGGTAGCAGTGAACTGAGATCCTGCCACTGCACTGCAGCCTGGGTGACGGAGCAAGACTCCGTCTCAAAATAAATAAATAAATAAAATGAATATAAAATAATAACTGAAATTGTTTTAAGAAATGCTAGATCTAGGACTGAAATCAACAGAAAAGATGAGCGAAGAAATTTTGCTACACTGAAGTTTCTGAGTACCTACAAAAGTCTTAATTATGAACTAATTTTTTTTCTTACATTTCAGTGTACTCCAAAAATATGTCAGAGGCCTTAAAGAAAATTTTATTTGTTTTTGTATGCAGTGGGGGCAGGCTGTCTTAAAAAGTAAAGTATGTATGAAAGTCGAAGGAACTCACAGTCACATAAATGTTTTAAATTCTTTGGAGAGATGTGTTTGATGACATGTAACATTGTTACAACAATGGTCTTTGTTTCTCAGTTGGAAATCGGTCAAAATTTTAAAAAGGTTTCTTGAAATAGAATTTTTTTTTTAGGAAATCTCATTTCTATGCTAAGACCAAGTCAACCTAAGGAGGAATTCGACACGATCTGAGAAGAATAAGTAAATGCAGATCATGAACTCTTGCAGCAACCCTGACCTACTAGCCTGCCCCTGACCAGCAGAGGCCACGAGCTTCAAGCGTTCTGGGACATGAAACCTGAAGTCCACCGAGCTCAGTTTCATATCCTCGTGGTCCCCCCAAGCAGGGAAACGCGCTCTTCTCGGGGGCTACGACTGGCGCTGGGGAACGGTGGTGCAGGACAGAAAAGGCAAGCGCAGCCAGGCAGGCCACTGCGGGCAGCGTCGGGCTGACCTGGCAACTCTGCGGCCGGACCGCGGGTCTGAGAGAGAGACGCGGAGGGGACGAATTACCGAGACAACGCGGAGAAAAACCGCCTCGCACGCCGGGGGATAACAAGAGCGGCCGGGCTAACGTTACCTCCACCCATTGGGCCGCGGCGTCCCCATCGGCTGGGCGAATTTGCAACCGGGCGTGCAGGCACTGCTGCAGGAGCGCCCGGGCCTGTAGTATACGGCTGCCCTCAGCCATAGCTTAAGCCCCCGCAGCTTCCGGACAGTTACGAGGCCTCGTGCTACAGGCTCCTCCCACGACGCGCAGGCGGGGTAGACGGGGCGGGGCGCGATGAAGGGACTGCGCCAATCTCCCAAGGCGGGGCCTCTGCCTAAGTCTCTGTTGTCCCGGATGTGCGGTCTTGTGGCCGGCGTAGAGCTAATCTCCGCAGAACCTGCTGGAGTCTGTAGCAGGCGCTCCGTGTATACTTTTAAATGATTGAAAAGACTCGTTAGATCTCTTTCCTACACACCTTTTAAGAAACAGTTTTCACCTCAGAAAGCTTAGGTTCCAACTGTTGAAAAATTTTAAATCTGCTTGATTTAAATTCATATGCCCATTATGAAGGTAAGTAAACAGTCGAATCAGAAAGCAAGCAGAGATGGAACTAAAAGTTCTATGTACACATCTTTCAAAATTTTCCTTATCCCAATCAATAAAAATGCTGCCTCCTGTATCGAGAATGCCATAAATCATTCTGATTCCACAGTTGTGAAAAGGTATTGGTATGCTATGTGAATTCAAATCATGGTGTTGATATACCCAGGTATTTCTGTGCTATACGAATACACAGTCTTTAGATCATTTTTTAGAAGATATCCTTGTTAAAAATAGTCTTGTCCAAGAAAGTGTAATTGTTAATAGGTTAGCCCGCTACTAATACAAAAATAAAACAGCTTATTCTGATGTATATCATGTAAATTCTGTGATTCATTTTCTGGAAGTACATATTAGAATGTAAGTAAAACTAAACAAGGGCTCGATTTTCTTTCCCATGTAGCGTATTCCGTGAACATGCATCAGATTAGCATTTATTTTTCTATGGGGTTGGATGGTTTAGACGAGGAATAATAGCGTTACCCTAATTGCATTACTCAGGTCATTGATTTGGGCTCAGTTGGCACAATGTGCCTATACATTCTGGTCTGTTGTTTAAAAAGATGACATCACTGACAGTGTTGCTATCCATACAAAGTAGTGTGACTGAAGAAAATAATCCATGCATAATCAACAGTCCTTTGTACACAAAATTGAAGCTGCTTGTTTGCTGATTATCTTGCAGACAGGCTTACACTTTTACTAAAAACAGACAGCAAAATCTCACATGATCTCTGATTGTTGCATTGCAGGGTTTCCAACATTTGTTGACATTTGTCTGCAAAGCACAGACAAGTTGAATTGCTTCATGTCTGCACCTTTATGTCATTATAACAATTGAGTCTCTTTTCTCTCTGTGTCTCAGATTCTGATTTTACAGGCCTGGAAGAAACTTTGACATACAGACCCTTAGCTATGTCCCAGAATAAGAGAAGAGTTTGGTGTCCATTCATATGTGGATGCAGGAAATAGGGAGGGCTATTGAAAATAGGGTATATGGTTCACAGAGATCTTTCTACAGTGATGGTGTCTTTAACAAATTGGGAAACCCTTCCTGTGAGTAGAATAGATGGAGTTGGATGGTAATGGTTAGCTTCTCAAAAATCACCAATTACTTTAAACCTTCCTGTTGAGTGAGGATCTCGTGGACATTGCTGTAGGTACTGTAATAGGCTGTGGCTCAGTTATTCTTTACTTCTATTTGCAGAAGGTGATAGAGAGTAGCCACCAAAGATAGCATTTCCTTTCTGTATTTTATGTTTTGAACACTCAGTTTCATTCTACACATAATTTAAGAAGGACATGCATGCAATAAAATAGTAAAAATGTGAATTAAAGCATTAGGAATAAAGAAAATAGAATTATGTCAGTAAGCCACAATGGGGGAAATTGAAAACAGATAAGGCAGTGGTTCTCAACTGGAGTGCTGAAATGATATAGTATGCAGCAAAGTTTTTACAAATATACAACTTTAATTTTTGTTATGAAACGGTTATGTTCATTATGCGTAATATTAAAGTGCTGCAGGTTGTACAATTTGCTTCAAGTTGGAATGAAAGGCAAAGCATATCATTAACTTGGCTTTTGAAGGAGATGGTTGTTCACTGGAATGTAAGAGAGCTTTGCCTTGTGATTGTATAGGAAATTATTGAGCAGAGATAATTCTGAAACACCTACAATGCTGAAAAGGTACCATATGGATAGGGGATAATTGTGGATGGGTTCTAGGTCATCTGAGATGGTATAATAATTAATTTAGAGTTACTTTAACTTATTTAATTCATTTAAGTTGGCTGCCCTAAACTCTGACATTCAAAGTATTTCACAAACATGAAAAGTTTGAGAACCACTTCTAAAAGATGCCTTAGAGTTGATGCTAAGCTTCCTGATTGTAAATAGGAGAGGATAGGGAAGGGAAGTATAATCTGTTTCATAGTTCTAGAGATAAGCAGAGATTTTCCATAAATTTAGCTCTAAACTGAGCCTTTTACCTGAGACTTTATATAGGGATATGTTAATAAATAAAGTGCAACTGGAAGAGGTAGGTATTTTATCTTAGGGAAGGCTGGATCTAGCCTTCTAGTTCAAAGCCCAGATATATATATATATATATTTTTTTTCATTGCTTAGGGAGATGACTAGGATCTGAGAAATTGGTTAACATTAACTAAAATGCACATTAGATTGGGTTGGAACCAGAATACTAATCTAGTCGTTTATAAAAAGAAATATTGCCATGACATGTAGTAGAAATTCCCACACAGGGCATGGTCAGCATGTTTCCCCCTGTGGTTAAGCATAGGAGCTAGATAATATTCACAAGTCTCTTTATTAACTATGAGAAATACTCAAAATCGATATGATCAGCATATTTTTTTTTTTTTTTTTTTTTTTTTTGAGACGGAGTTTCACTCATGTTACCCAGACTGGAGTGCAATGGCGCGATCTCGGCTCACCGCAACCTCCGCCTCCCGGGTTCAGGCAATTCTCCTGCCTCAGCCTCCTGAGTAGCTGGGATTACAGGCACGCGCCACCATGCCCAGCTAATGTTTTGTATTTTTAGTAGAGACGGGGTTTCACCATGTTGACTAGGATGGTCTTGATCTCTTGACCTCGGGATCCACCCGCCTCGGCCTCCCAAAGTGCTGGGATTACAGGCTTGAGCCACCGCGCCCGGCCTAATCAGCATATTATTTTTATGTGTAGAGAGTAACAAAGAAATCGGGATGTTGCTTGGTGAATGAGAACTACGAACAAAGAGGGCGAAAAAAGTTTTTTGTAGAAGACACTGAACTACAACCCCAAGTACTAAACACAGGAGAGAGTGAGAAATATGCTAAACGATGTCCCTACAGCAAATGTAGTATCAAATTTTGTAGGGCAATTTCTTTAATTGTTCCTTGATAAAATCAGAATCTTTGATATAGTCCCAAAATAAAAGCAAGTCTTCAGATGTAATATGGTCTAAATATACTAATGTGACAGTCCTACTCTACTAGAGATTAACGTATGAACTTTGTATACTTCACTTAATCCTAATCAGTTTTCTCAACTGGGCTTTTGAGAAGTGTTGAATGTTGGGATTTTTCAAGGTTTAGTCCGTGGCAAGGGCTTGTGGAGTAGGGTATTTTATATTATTTAACAAGACACTGTGATTTAGAGATCAAAAGAACAAACGGGGAAGTTACACTGGGGAAAGGGCAAATTAGGACGTGTATTTGGATGAATAACTGGTTATATATGAAGGTGGATTTAAGGATTTCTGAAGAAGCAGTTTTATCCACTGTAACATATAAATAAAAAAATAGGTTTCTAAAGTTCTGTACAACAGCGGATATAATTTTGGCTTGGAAAAAATGTCAAAGCTGCTGTCTTGTGAGAAAACAGATGGCACACTTTCAAAAGATAAAGAGAGGCTGAGCTTGGTGATGGCTCATGCTTGTAATCCAATCACTTTCGGAAGCTGAGGCTGGAGAATCACTTCAGCCCAAGAGTTTGACACCAGCCTGGGCAAGATGGTGAGACCCCCGTCTCTATTGAAAAAAGAAAGATGGCCAGGTGTGGCACCTGTAATCCCAGCACTTTGGGAGGCCAAGGTGGGTGGATCACTTGAGCTCAGGAGTTTGGGATCAGCTTGGCCAACATAGTGAAAACCCGTCTCTACTAAAAATACAAAAAGTAGCTGGGCATGGTGGCGTGTGCCTATAATGCCAGCTACTGGGGAAGCTGAGGTGGGAGAATAGCTTGAACCCAGGAAGTGGGGGTTGAAGTGAGCTGAGATTACACTACTGCACTTCAGCCTGGGTGACAGAGTGACTCTTTCTAAGAAAGAAAAGAAAAGAGAGAGAGAGACAAAAGGAAGGAAAGAGAGAGAAGAAGGAAGGAAGGAGAGAGAGAAAGGGAAAGAAAGAAAAGAGAAAGAAAGAAAAAAGCAAGCAAGAAAGAAAAAGAGAGTTGGATGAAGGTTGAATGAAGGGATAATTAGCCAGGTATGTGAAAGGTTAAGGAAAACCACCAGGGGATAGTGAGGGACCAAGGGCTAGCAACAACAAGAAGCAGTTATCATTCTGAAGGGGTAAGAGGAAGGAATAATTTTCTTCAAGAACCAGCAAGAACTGTGGGTCAAACTTGACAGGACCTGTGACCTTCCACAGAGAAATGCAGCCTCTGCCAAACTGCAGCCTGTTTTCCCTCTCCTCCTACCTTTGATTACCATTTCTTTCATTGGCTACACCCAACTGGAAGTTAGAGTAAGGGTTGATTCAGTACAGACAGAACAGCTTCCTGGAACACAGAATAGCATACAGAAAGATGGAGAGTGGATCTGAAAGGACACATGGAGAAGATCCAGGGCAACAACTACTTCCAGCTTCTATGGACAGAGAGAAATATCAGTAGTTACCTTCTATAGGATAATTTAGTGGCAAAATATACCCCTCATCTGTATACCCAGTTTTCTAATTACAAGGGCTTATTTTATAAAACAATTACATTTTGGGTGATAGTTGTAAAGAATAATTATTTTGTTTTGTTTTAAGAAAAAGGCCCAAATCAATAGGTGTTTTATTACATAATAAAAATATCACAAATAAGGCCAGGTGCAGTGGCTCACCCATGCAATCCCAGCACGCTGGGAGGCTGAGGAAGGAGAATTGCTTGAGTCCAGGAGTTTGACACCAGCCTGGGCAACATAGAAAAACCCTGTCTC